AATTTGTTCTCAAAATTAAGGGGTCGTGTATTGTACATAGTCTGGGGGAGCTAAGAAAGACTTTGGGGACGTACGAGTGCCGGGGTAATTGGTTAGAATTTTGGTGTGATGAGGTTTTTAAGGGAAAAGGGCTTTTAAATAAAAGTTAGGTTTGGAGTGGAGCGGAGTTTTAATGTACTTATCAAATACTAAAGAAATCCTCTTTCTTATAATAATATAGTTTCTCTGAATCAGTATATATGTGCATACATACATACATATGCATGTAGCAATAAAGTTACTCCCATTTCGGAGGATCTAAACTTTTGCGATTACTTAATAAATTTAAACATTAGTCGCCTACGATGAAATAAAAAATAATAAAAAATAAAACAAAAAAAGGATATCAACAATTCACTTGACAATGTGGCATCTATAAAAAATACTTGCATTCCCATTGCTCCGGCTGATTTTAATTTCTCTCTTTCTTCTAGTATATTTCATTCTTGCGCTATCCGTCTGGGCCGGCCGAGCCAACAATTCTACATGGCGCAGACAATTTTCAAGCTAAAATCCCAATATCGAAGCTTTGTTGTGCCACTAGGCCATTGTTTGCTAGCTGATGTGCGCTTTTGAGACTTTCGTTTCTTTATAGTTTTTTTTTTGTTCGTTTCTCTTTTTTGCCATTCTTCCGCAGCATTGATGAGTCCCTTTGGGAACCTTTTCTCTTAGCACACGGATTTCGATCACAACACCAACTCAGTGCGATCGGCGTACTTTGAAAGGTTTTTTAAGTGAGTGTGCACAGAGGCAGACAGGCCTTTTTACTCTAAGTTCAGGGAAGCGACTGGCTTGCGGGGTTAGGAGTGCGGCGCTTAAGCGCGGCAGACTTTTGTGAAGATTTAATGATTGCGTTCGAGCTGAGCTGGCTTTTGCCTTATTTGCCCTTTTAGCTGGATGCCTTACCGGCTGCCTGGCTGGCTGACTGACTGACTGTTTGCCTGCCTGACTAGTCGTCTCTACTTTGCTTTGGACTTTCAGTGTTTAATACATTTTGGCGGTGGGGATTTTTTTGCGAGTAAATCTACCTTTGCTTTTCAACTCTGATTCAAGTTCACTATGGCGGTCGATCGTGGCAATGTTATGTGGAATGCGAGCAGTAAGCAAAATGTATCGCATTTTAATTCGATTTCCAGTAAGTTTCTCAAGGTTTCCAACATTGTCGGGCTAAAAACGTTTTTAGAGCGATGAGTAAGCGAGCCTGTAATTACACCAACCGATAATGGGCATTAACCTGTTTAACTACAATTTACTAAAAATGTTCAGGTTTCTTATTTTTAACTTTTTCTTTGGCAAATCCAAAATAGCACTTAGCCATAGAAACACCGTATGAACTAAACGCAGGTCACAGCAACAACATGCTAATTTATATTGAAATAGCTGAAGCCATTTTCAAGCCCATCAACAAGATTAACAATTAAGTTTAGGCAATTAGGGATTTCGCCATAAAGCAAGACATCAACTCGAACAGATACATACATATATGACTCTTGTATTCATACATATTTACATAAACATACAAACTTCTATTTGGCAAGTCTTTACCTTCAGCAGTCGTTGCCAGTAAAAAGCAAAAAGCACGCTCGTATTAAAAGACATGTGCCTATCCATCTTTCTATAATACCCGTATAGACTCTATATACTCGTATGTATGTACATTAGGGTGGTAAAAACAAGTAAAGTTGGAATTTTAATGCTCCCAACCCTAGGATTGTTGTAAACCGAAAAAAATTATACCCCTGTTTTTGATTTTGAAATTAGAAAATATTTAGAGGTCGCTCAAAGCGCTCAAAATTTTCCATGTATTTCCCATATAAAAATGGAATGCAACTCTTAATAATCAAAGGACCCCTAGAAACCTCAGTTGAGTTCCCCATTGCATTTCTTTAGGTTCCTATAAAAAATAGTTAATAATAGAAAATGTTTAAATAAATAATTGTGTATTGTTGTTGGAAGTCTCCTGAAGAGAAACAAAGCTTTCCGACCGAGAAATATTAAATTTTTTTTCAATATAGAGCCATCCTAAGAAATGAGAGCATTTAAATTCCGACTTTAATTTTTCACATGTATTCTTGGACCACCCTAATGTGCATATATATTTCGCATAAAAACTATCAATTGACAGCGTCACAAAAGCCCCGCGTCTGCTGCCATTAATTCATCGGTAGTCCCAATAAAATCATTTTCATTGCTTGTATAACACAAAAACTAATGCTTATGTAAATAAGGCTTAAAAATTGTGATGGCAACAAAGCAAATAAAGGAAATTAAATAAATTGCGCTGACAACTTAAATTAAGTAATGCGGTAGAGAAATCAAAAAATAAAAATATAAAAATTAAATTCGTATTTACAAATGGTCCACTCTCGGAATGTCGGGTTAACGCTTTAACTCGAAGTTAACTGCTAAGGCGAGTGAGACCAAGAAATTACTTCTTACGGAGAAAGGTTAGGCATTAATTCAGTCATAAGAAGTCAGAAGTTATGGATAATTAGCTTGCTAGCTCAGAACCACTTTCAATGTTGATAAGAATAATAAATTAATATTTCAAAGGATCACTTGCAGAATGGAAGTATGTATACCTGGGGTTAAGTATTTAAACCCAGAATATTTGGAGGGAGCGAGAATTAAGGATAAAAGCTATTGGCCAAAATTCTGAGAGGAAGACTCATTGGAGTTGTTCGCGAAAAGACCAGACAGAGAACAAGCAAAGTCAGAAACAACTTTTTAATACCCCAACGAAACCTATGCTGCTTTTTGTCCAATTACTAATGATTATACAAAATAAGTTCTTTTCGTTTCATGTGGGCTGATAATGGAGAAGATAAAAAATAAGACTTTAAAGAGGACAGTGAAATTTAAGGAAGAGTAATTTAAGCAACATCTTTAGACCGCTCATGTAGCTCGTCTAACAGTGCAGGATTTCGAAGGTAAATACTCAGTCGGTTAGGTATTTAAAAGATATGATATTAACTGGGACAAGAAATCCTAAAGACTCCAAGTGAGCTAGGTACCCCATAGAAAGACTTTTAACTGACATGCTCAAGTCAAGAAGTAATGGATTCATGCATCAGAAATTAACGGAAAACCTATGTCAATCCCAAAAGACCGAGTGCAGTTTACCGCTGTATAGACAAGAAAGCTGGCAAGACAAGGAAACGTCTGTATCATCAACTGTTTTTTGTTTTTATTCAGATGGAGGTTTCCTAACTTAGGTTAAGGTTTTTGAGATTAATGTTAAGCTTCTTTAAAGCTGATATTTTAATTTTAAACTGAAGTTTTGTCTGTAAACCGAAAAACTTATTAAATTGCACAATTACAGGAGGCTCTTGACATCAACGATATTTTGTAGTCAAATAGCCTCACTTTGTTAAAATTCATCTATTTCCCTTTGTGGCTCATACGGAGCAACAATATCCACGGATATCACAAGGAGGCTCTCGTTGTAGGCTGGTCGGAGAAGACTACATATATGCTTTATATTACAGGCGGCCCTGAATCCAACTGTGCCAAAAAAAGGCTTGCCAATCAACTCAATGAAGCTCTGACCAAACCTAAATTGGCGGGCTGATACTCTGCCGGAGTGCCGAGCTCAACGAGGCATGTATGGAACTCAGTTTTACTGCGGTTCATCCAATGGATACACAGCAGAGCTCTTAGGAAGCTGGGAGAACTTTCAGGTTACAAATCAATACCATACGTACGTTACAGGGTGAAAGTCAATCCAAGAGATTGTTAACTCATTCCCGTGCAGCCCCTGAACGATTACTTGAGCTTAGCCGATAGGGTATAGGACTAGGTATCATTGGATACCTGACAGTGCACTGCAAGATAATTTACCATCTTTGTAAAATTGGATTTTCTGCGTTGACGAACTGATAGTTGTGTAGGCTAACGTAGGCAGTAGACGAGCTATGTTTTAAGTAAAGGGGCATATGCTATGTGTAAAGTTTTAGACTAACGTCTTAGAGAACAAAGTATATCCACCACATATAATCTGGAACCTAACATCGCCCAACTTAATAAACAGTCTAAGTTGGGAAAGACTTCCGAAGGGTTAGCCTAGTAGATCTAGCTGGGGCTGAGCGCTAGAATGTCTTAAGTAAAAATATTTGCTAGTTTAAAACAGGGCTGCGGAGCGGAGCAAAGGAGCAAAGAGCTAAAAAGTTTAATTTTTTCCTTAGATCCTTAAAGACAACTTTTTAATATTTAGTTTTTCTTATTTTCTGGCCTAGAAACGATTTTGAAATATTTTAATTGATGTTGTTCCACAAAAAGTTTCAATAATAACGGCCTCAAGCTCTTTAAAAAAATATTCTGTTAATAAACGTACTTAAATTATTATGTTTTGCGACTGAAAACAACCGTGTTAAATAAATTTCGATTCTATTTAATTTACATGGCCATTTTTTTAAATATTCTTTTAGATGCAAAAGTTTTCCTAGAGCAACTATGTAGAATCTACATTGTAGATCCATTTCTGCATCGAAAAGAAAATTTTCAAATAAACGTTGCCTACCTTTTTTT